AACCTAGAACAGATAATGGATGTCTATTCTATTAACATTTCTCTTTCTGTAGAATGGATCTGTTCTATGTGTCGTCTTCTCAGTCCAGTGGGCCCCCGGCCTGTCTTTGCCTAGGGCCCCACATTTCCGAAACCAGCCCCTACCCTCGGGGAGCAGTGGGCTGCCGTTGTGCAGCGCCCGGGGAGCAGTGTGGGGTTAAGGGTCTTACTCAGAGTACTTACAAGCTTTTTAGAGCAGGCATCCCCAACCTCTGTCCTCGAGGCCCGCTGTCCTTATAATCATTATAATCAGCTGTGCTAAAGCAGGGAAACCTCTAAAACCTGCAAGACAGCGGCCCTCGAGGACAGAGGTTGGGGACGCCTGTTTTAGAGCACAAGCGCACTGCTCTAACCCACTAGGCATTCCCTCTCAGCAGCGGGTTCAGACTTCTGCATGTGCTTTTCTTTTCCTAGAGTGGAGAGGGTCTTTAAAACATTTGCGAAAATCTTCCATTAAACCTTTAAAGAAGATTTTTTTTTTTAAGAATTTAAACAGGGTGAAAATTAAAGTTTTCCTCTTGAGGAGTTCCGGATAAAACATTTTGACAGTATTTTATGTTAAATTAAATATGTTAATATATTTTTACAATCTTGGCATAATTCCTGCTTTTAAGTGAGTCGCTCTATCAGCTAAAGGCACGTTTCAGCGTCTCTATACTCCAGTTAACAATAAATCGATTAGTAAATTAGTTGATCTGATAAATATGATGATAAGCCCTAATTGGATTTAGTGCGGAACGATTTTGCCAAAAATCTAAATTGTGATTATTTTTAACCAATGTTACGATTTTAACTTTTCACCAACTCCATGTTTTTAGATGTTTCACACCAGAGTTTCAGATTTTTAAAGCTTGCTTGTCCAAAGTCCATTGTTGCAGAGTTTTACTGTAATGCATGCATGGATCGGTGTGCTAGCTGCGACTCCCTCTGCCTTTCTATGTGGTGACACATCCGCTTTAAGAGTTTTACTGCCCCCTAGAGGGCAGAAATGTCATGTCTTATTCCAGTTAAATGCAGGGTGATTAAAATTGAGCCCTAATTGGATCCAGCATTTATTAGGCTTTTACTGAACTAACAGATTTTTCCGTCCTGCGAGGAGCCGACAGAACAGGAGAGCAGCCAGGATCCAGCAGAGACCTCTGGGTAAAGGAAGCTCTTATTATCCACTGCTCTCCAACAATGCATCTCATTTTCTTGTCAGGATTCAAGACATGTGCCAAAATACTGGCAGAATGTTATTAACTCTCCGTTTTCTAAAAAAAAAAGATCAAATATGTTATTTCTGATGAAATTTACATTTAATAGAGTAACATTGAAAAAATAGCTCCTTCCTTGCGAACTATGGAGATGGTGAAAATGGAAAGGAGGACGTCTGTTTCAGCTGAAATCATTTTAGAAAACATTATTGGACAAACAGCCGTATGAAGGAGTGAAAATCACTGAATCCATCGTCTGCACATGGAGGGAGGACATTTAACAGGGTTTATAAAGGAATGAATTACTCTAATTTCATGTTTTTTTAATGCTATTAGAAATAGTTTTAATGCCATCAACAAGTACCCATGACACACACACTCACACACACACTCTCTCTCTCTCTCTCCCTCTCTCTCTCTGTATATGTTGATTGTTACCCCGAAAACCCATAAAAATTAATGAAATTAAGGAAAAAAATCCCAAAAAATTTATGAATTGTAATTATTTGTAATGATCTGTGGAAACCATGGATAATTTCCGTCATCTCGCGCATGCCCTCTACCATCTCCAAGGAACTCAGAGCGGAGCGGACGGGAGCCACAGTGGAGGCTGTAGGCTTTGCTTTGCGCAGGCGGTCTGGAGCGCAGCGGGGCGGAGCGGGGGTTGCTGACGGAGTATGAGGGATTTCGGGGTTAGCATGACATGTTGGTCATGTTGCTGTTAGCATAAACAAAACGTGTTGCACAATGCTTGCACACTGTTGCACTTTTATCCAGAACATTCTTTCCGCCGCCATCGTAGGTCACTCTAAATTCAAAGTGGTCCCATACACTTAACCTATACAGTGCTGCAGGCGCGTCTTCCAACTCCTGTTCTTTCCCACTCGCCATACCCACACATTTCTCCAC